TCCGTACCGGCCACGCTCGTCGTCAATGTGGCTGTTGCTCACGCGACGGCCCGCGACCGCGACCATGGTAACACTTGAATGCGCTGCTGCACAGTGATGATATTTATAGCTCGGAACCCGACCCCTAAAATTTGACGGAAACCAATGAAAGCGCTGCGATTCAGAGTTGTGCTTTTGTCAGTCCAGATCTTTTGTCCAGATCTGGTACAAAAAGATCTGCGCTGCCAGACTGTTGGCGAGTAGTTGAACGTCCTGAACAGTACAGGGAGAGCGCGCGTCTTGAAGCTTACTGAAGCAAGAGGACGCGATCCTCGATTCGAGATAGTGTAAACTACATTCCTGGCAAAAAGCTACTGGCGTCCCTTTTTGCAGGGTATGGCGCTGATACTATGTCGTGCAGCGGGTCCGATGACGCTTACTTTACTGCGTGCGTGGGGCCGCTCGATTATGCGTCGTAGGACGCCAGCCGCGCGTTCGATCGTCGACGACACCCGGCTGCGGCTTTTGCGGTGCATCTTTCTCTTGGCATCGTTGGCTAACATCGTAGCGTCGAGTTGCATCAGGCTATCCAACGTACCGTTGGCGACGTGGGCAAAGAAGAGTACCTTGCGCTCGTCGTCCGACATTTGCTGCTTGTGCTTGGCGTACAGATGGTAGTAGATACTCTGCAGCAGGAGCACGCCCGCGAGCACTTGGAGCTTGTACGCGACGTTGTCTTGAAAGCCGAGGACCGACACGATGTTGACGAGCCAAATGCTCAGCGAGAGAAGGGCGCCGTGCACACCCAAGGGACTGCGAAACGTGCGCGGGAGGTGGGCGAAGCGCTGCTTGAGGTACATGTACCCGACGCACTGGGCTGCGTACGCTGTGAACGCAAACACCATGCCAATGTTGAAGAGCTCGTCGCGCAGCGTCTCAAACGCGCGGACGAGAAAACACATGCCAAACCCGAGAAGCGACCCGAGCAGCGTTGCGATCGGGTGGGTGTGGCTCGGCCCAAACTGCCTCGTGAGCACAGAAGGCAAGAGGCACGAGCTCGCCATCGCCGCGAGGATGTTGGAGTAGGCAAGGACAAAGCCAAAGATGGTCGCAAATGTCGCTGGGATCGAGAGCATCATGGCGTCGGCCGCCGACACGTGCAGCATGCGCTCGTAGCCTACGTAGCATTCCCATAGAACTTGGTGTTCTTCGCAAGGATCTCAAAGCATACCGCGGGAGAGCACAGCGACGTCGGTCGTCATGCTGATCACATCGGGCGCGACGCCGATGGCGGCAACAAACACGAGCACCGCGAGTGCGAAGAGCGTGAGCACGCACGCCACTTGCCCTATAGGAATGACCTCCTTGGGCGCCGGCACCACGTTGCAGACGGTGCTGAGCGCTTCAATGCCGACAAAGAACCACGCAGCGGACGGAAGGCGGCGAAGGAACTCGAGTCCGCCACCCACGATGAGCCGGTTGTCGTCGCTCGAGACGCGGCGGGAAAACTCACTGAGCGAGTAGGCGCCGCCGAGGTAGACGAGTACCAACCCGAGCGAGAGAAGCGCTAGGAAGCGGTTCACGAGCCAAAACACCCGATCGCTGCTCGCTAAGAGCACGTTGCAAACGCCGTAGGTCGAGAGCCACAACAAGGGCGCCATGTCGGGATGGAGCGTCGGAAATGCAATGTACAACATGTCGCTTAGCGTGAGGACCGCACTCGCCGTGTACGCCATGTACTCGAGCGCTTCGCAGCAGCCAATGACCCACCCAGCGTAAAAGCCAATCGAACAGCGCGTGAGGCCGTACGCGCCACCGGAAAAAGCGAGCGTCGACGTCATTTCGGCCATGGACAAGACGAGGCAGACGTACCCGACTCCGAGCACGAGGATAGCTACTGCATTGCTCAGAATGCCCGCGAGGAGCCCCGTGTTCCACGAGAAGAGCTGTCCGCCCAGCACCATCGTGATGCCCAGCGCCCAAATGTCAAACTTGGTCGCGTGGTATTGCAGCGTCAGCGCGGTCGGGCCCACAGCGGCCGATGTCACACCGACCTTCATGCTCCCACGACACGCGACGAACTGAACGGCCGGCTGTCTACAAAGGCGCCAAGAATACGGCGCGCTCGTGACCACCAAAAACCACTCAAAATAGCTCAGCTCGGTTAAGGGCTAGGTGTCGCGGGACTCCGACCCCATCTTCTAGTGCAGGACACGCCAAGACTACCATGTGTAGTACGCAGTATACAGCTCTATTGATCGCGTAGGGCTATGTAAACGGTGCGACGATGGCACGGGCTCACAGCAAGATGAGTTTTCGGGTTTCGACGAGCACGTCCTTGAGGTGCTCGTTCGTCGCTTCCTCGTGTTGAACCTCGCTCGCATCGGAGGCAAGCACTTGGAGCCAGCTGCGAGCAATGTGTTGTAGCTCCGACACGTGATGAGGCGCCTCCAGGTACGCGTCGCACTCGGTCTGCAGCATGTCGACGCGCCGTTCGATGTACAGGACGAGCCAGCGCGTCGACGTGAGCTTGAGCGACAGCGAACTCGATGGGGTCGATGGAAACACCGACAGCGCACGTATATAGTCGTCTTGCGCCCCTGCGAAATCGCGCACCAAGTTTTTTCGATCGCCTTGCCGGGTCCACGCTCGTTGGTGGAGCTCCGGCCACGGCAACGACGCCACGCGCGCCGCGTCACATGCTGCTTCGGCCATCGACTTGGTCGCGTCTGTATAGTTGGCGCGCACCATCGCTTGGAGCGATGCCGTACAGGCCGTCAGTGCGCCTTCAATAGGCGCCGGGTCGACGGCCGTCGGCTCCATCATCTCGGCTGCTACTGCCTCGTCATCGTGCTGACTCGAGGCATCGTCGACCTCTGTCGTGGACTCGGGATCCTCATCTGCTGTGGGTTTGACATCGTCGACCGCCGTGGTTTCGGTTGGTGCAACGGCGGCTCTTATGTCTGCGGCATCGAGCTCGTCGACTGCACCCTGTACAGTTGCCGGCTCGAGCTCGTGTGGTGTCTCGAGAGCTCGGTCGTCGTTCGTGCCATCCAGAGCAGCACGCGTATCGGGTGTCGGCTCCTCATCCAGCAGCTCATTGCCGTCAGCAGAGAGCGAGTCGGCGGCGGCGGTGGTAGAAAGGGCAGCATCGCCGTCGATCGTGACAGCGACTTCGACCACAGGCTCACTGACCGTCGTCTCGTCGTCGGTGGACACCTGCGCCATGGCATTGTCGACCTCAGGCGTACTAGCCGCAACATCTTGAATCTCAACCGCTGCCGATGGCACGTCCTCGGCCGTTGTGGCGTCGGGCGTCGGTGGCACCGCCTCGGAGGCGTCGGGCGTCGTTTCGGGCTCGTCCAGGTTCGAGGTCACGGGCGCGTCTTCCGCGTCTGCGTCGTCTTGGGTCTTGATGTTGCTGCCGTCGTCGCTCGGAACAGCTCGGTCAACGCTGTACTCGTCCACCGTTGTCGCCTCATGCAGCGCCGAGTAGAGCGACGGCAATACTTTCGCCCCAAGGGCCTCGAGGCGCGTCCATGCTTCGGCGAGCGTCACGTCCTCCGAGTGCACTTGATAGACGAGCCATCCTTGGACAGCGCAAATGACGAAACCAAGGAAGAAGCAGAGCCGGCGCCATCGGCCCCGGCGCAGCTCCGCGTCCAAGCGCGCACGCGCCAATGGCTGCGCCTCCGAGTCAATGCGCAAGCCGTGCTGGCGCTTCCACTTGGCATTTTCACGCTCGAACCACCTCTCCCACTTGACGCGGTCGGCTTCGTCGGCCCAGAGCGTCTCGTCGATCATGGCCTCGTCCACCTCGTCGTCGTCGTCGTCGTCGTCATCGACGTCGTCCACGCCAGCGTCCGAGGCTTCTGACGGCGCATACTCCTCGTCATCGTCTTCGTCGTCCTCGAGCGCAAGCGTCCGGAAGGCGACGCCGTCGTCGCTGTCGCTGCTCGTATCGGCGTCATGGCCCCAGATGCCAGCCCGCGTCGCCATTGCTGCTTCAGCAACCGGCGGGTTAAAATGGTGTACGGTAAAAAAACGTATTAAAATAGTGTGATAAACAGGCTGCCCTCGGCACAGTGCAAGAGACACGGTATCCCTTCGGCTTGTACGAGTACTCTCCTCCAAACAATAAGATTGCCATTGGTAATTGCGACCTAGAGACATGTGGTCTTATCAATACATTTACAGCTATTCCGTACTAGTCAAGTTAGTCGAGTCGAGTCCATACCTTGGTCCAAACCAAGCGGTGACCCCCAAGAAGCCGACAACCCCGAGAGTCAAAGCGGCGAGACGGTTCGTAGAGGCGTCAAGCACCAAGCTTAGAGATGCGCAGATCTCTGGTGGCGAGAGATGCATGCAGTGAATTCCAACGGCGTGGCAGCGGTCACTTCCACCAGCGCGAAGTAGCAGCAAGTGTCAGGAGTAGCTGCTTCTCGACGTCTTTGCCAGCCTCTCATCTCTCATCGCTAAGAAGCGTTGGCACAGATCGTACATACTGATGGCGCACCCAACCCTCTAGACGCTCTCGGCCAAAGCCACAAAGGAGCGAAACAATGGAATGCCGATTGAGATACGACTTGAGGGCGCCGTTACTACTACTGGCGTGCACGACTCGAGCTGTCTAGTGTTCGTGGCCAGCGCTCTTGAGGTCGTTCATGTTGGTACCAGCAATTGATTCGCCTAGTAAAGTAGGGACGATAGGACCAAGCACTCAACGCTGCTGCCGGTGTACCAAAGAGGCGGAGGCTCGAGATAGCCGAGATGTCGCCGCCATTGTTCTCTTCGATAAAGAGCTAGGCACCAGAGTCATGATGGACGTGTTTGTATAGTAGAGGCGCGTACCGTCAAGGCCGAGACGCGCTGGAACTTGACAAAGCGGAGCTCGATCGGCGACCCCGATGCGAGCTGCTCGTCGTTGAGCTCGATCTGCTGCACAGGCTCAATGTCCGCAACGTCCGAAAAGCCCTATATACATGCACGTTGAGCGCATACGCTCATGCAGCGACAGGCAGTACCAGGTTGTTGCGGTTCACAAACAGCTTGAGCACACGCGGCGCCGAGTCTACTTTGGGTTCAGCGCGAGTTCGACATGGGCGCCTACCGTCCGTCGGCGCCTTGAGCGCAATCGAGTGGATCTTGACGGCTTCCTTGAATTCCAAGTGGATAATGAGCTGCTCTGCACACGCAGGACGAGCTACCATGAGGCCGCGATGCAGTGCGCATGCGCGACGTACCATCAGCCTCGCTCTTGAGGAGGAGCGTGCCATCGCCGATGAAGAGGTTGGCGAAGCCATAGCTCGGGTCTTCGTTGAGGCAGTACGAGTTAGCCTTGTCGAGCTGCTCGGCGAGGTCGTCAAACTTGCGGGCGGACATGGCTGGAATCGCAATCTGGGGTAGCCGATTCTCCGAATATAGTGTATAATTTCCCTTCGAAATAGCGTTGTTAACACTACTTCTAGGCCGTACCCGCCGTTTATAGTGTACAACATACATCTGTTGTGCATAATAGTATAGGTAATAAAATACTGTACATTAAGGTGTATAGTGTTAGACCTTCGCGGCTGCCTTCACCCAAACCCTAAGTGCTCCAAGTCTATATCGTAGCGCCGCCAGCTCGATCTCTTGCCATTAAGTCCTTCGATCGTATTTTCTCTACCGGTCATGTGATTGCTCGTGGTGGTAAACGCAACACGGGGCTCGGTACGACGCCGCCTGCTCGCAAGGCTCTCCCGATCCCTCGCAAAATTGGGTGTTTTTGAAGCAAACGGCCAGGTGGCAGCATCCAGTTTTAGAGGTCCTCTTGAAATGCATATCGAAAGGCTACGAAAGATCGCACATGGGCGATGCAGGCAGCGACACGCTCCTCGAACGTACCGCACGGCCGCCATGGCTCGCCGACGTCGATGAAGAAGCCGTCGACTACGACCACTTGCCAGTGCGCGCCGAAGACACTCTGGTGCGCTGCAGCGGAATCCTGCGCGACGGCGCCCGCTGTACGAGAACGTGCGTCGTCGACCGTGCGCAGCTCTCGCATCCGCCCAATTCGTACTGCTACAAGCACCATGGGCAAGCCGCGGCCAACTCACATGGCTACGCCCCCCTCGCGGTCTCGGATTTGCAAGTACCACCCCCTACTCGGCGCCAATGCGTTTGCAGCCACTGGACCAGCCTCGCGATGCTCTTCGTTTGCAGCTTCTCACTGGCTGTGTTTTGCTTGGTCCTGGCGCTGGCGCTCCACGAGCCGACGTTGGGCATCCTCGGTGTCACATTCTTTGCTGTGCCAATCGGATTGCTCGGCTACTGTCTTCTCCAAATGATGATGCATGCATTTATACCGTCCCCGCGACCACTCGATGCAGTCGAACTCTTGATCTGACTATGCTACGCGTCGTGGTGGCACATCAGTTGGACGTCTGCGATCGGTCGCCCGCACGAATGGAGCGACGCCAGATTGGTGGCTAAAGATGACTCTATAAAGATCTCTATATGACCAACTTCAGCTTTATCCAAGTTGAACCCGATCGCCGTGGCCTACCGCGGCGCCACGTGGTATGGCGTCGCATCCGGTTTTATGACTCATTCTAACCGGATGCTTCGGTTCGAAAAGATTTTTCCGAAGAGCTCATTTGCCATTTTGCCGCGCTGCAGCCATGCCCCGCCTCGAGACTGACGTGAAGCTGGACTTCAAGGACGTGCTGATCCGCCCCAAGCGCAGCACGCTCAAGAGCCGCTCCCAGGTCGACGTTTCCCGCACGTACACCTTCCGCAACTCGGGTCGCACGTGGTCTGGCGTGGTACGATGATCCGCCGCTTGCCGTCGCCCGATCGACTCATGTTGTGTTCCTAGCCCGTGATCGCTGCCAACATGGACACGGTCGGCACGTTCGAGATGGCCATCGCGCTTGCGCAGCACAAGTGCATCACGTGCATCCACAAGCACTACTCGGTCGACGAGGTATGTAGCATCATCTTGCGGGCAACACTGCAACACGACTTCCGGACGCTTACGTGACGATGGTGCTGTAGTGGGAGGCCTTTGGCGCGGCGCACCCTGACGTGCTTCCGTTCGTGGCCGTCAGCGCTGGCACGAGCGCGGCCGACTTGGAGCGTGTCTCGAGCGTCCTTGCCAAGCTCGACGCGATCTCGTTCGTCTGCCTCGATGTCGCCAACGGTATGTTCTCACCGTCTTCCGTCGCATCGTATATGAACCATGTATCGGTAGGCTACTCGGAGATGTTTGTCGAAGCGGTTCGCCGCGTTCGTGAGGCGCACCCGACGCACACCATCATCGCCGGCAACGTCGTGACGGGTGAAATGGTCGAGGAGCTCCTTCTCAGTGGCGCCGACATCATCAAGATCGGTATCGGTCCGGGCTCGGTCTGCACGACGCGCAAGCAGACGGGTGTCGGCTACCCGCAGCTCTCGGCTGTCCTCGAGTGTGCGGACGCCGCCCACGGCCTGCGCGGCCATGTCATTTCGGACGGCGGCTGCACGTGCCCCGGCGACGTCTCCAAGGCGTTCGGCGCCGGCGCTGACTTTGTCATGCTCGGTGGCATGCTCGCGGGCCACGACGAGAGCGGTGGCGACGTGCTCGAGCTCGGCGGCCAAATGTTCAAGCGCTTCTACGGCATGAGCTCGTCCGTCGCGATGAAGAAGCACGCGGGCGGCGTGGCCGAGTACCGGTCGAGCGAAGGCAAGGCCGTGACGGTGCCGTACCGCGGCCCCGTCGACGGCACGATCAAGGACATTCTTGGCGGCGTCCGCTCGACATGCACGTACGTCGGTGCGAGCCAGTTGAAGGAGCTCAGCAAGGTCAGTTCACGTCCAATGGTATTGCATCTCACATGCTCGTTTGTAGCGCACGACGTTCATCCGCGTGACGCAGCAGCTCAACGAGGTGTTTGGCAAGGCGCCCAACGAGCAAGAACTCGCGGCCAACGCCCCCAAGACCAACTAGGAAGCCGCGTGCGCCAAGCTTAGAAGCCTGACGGCAACGTCGTTGGACGACGCCGTACTACCACTTAAGTTGATAAGATGACTCTTGCATGTACTATCCGGCATCGTCCCTGCTGCTGCTTCCCTTCCTGTCGCCTTGTTGAAGTGGCTTGCTCCTAGTTTACCGCGATCTTGTGATCCGGAGACAATTGTACCTGCGTTTAAACATAAAACGCATGTCTGCAAATACAGAACCAACATACAAACGTGCATACAAGGCAAAATTCGAACTCGGGTCCGAGCACGTTAAACTCGGTGGCCGCCAGGAACAGCGCTACCGCAACCACAGCCGAGGAGCAGAGAGAGCCCAATGATCCATAGAAGGAGCTGTGGAGCCTATGACGAACGTGGCGGCGACAGCGCCTGCATTGAACGCGTTGGTTAAACGCATTGAACCGGTGAGAGGTTCATCCGGATGAACCAGTGGTGTTGCTGGTATGCGTTTTCAGAGGTATTGGCCGTCGAAGCTAAGACCACACAAACCCGTCATCATGTCCAAGTCCTTGGGCGTCCCGCTGAGCCTGCTCCATGAAGGCGAAGGCCATACGATCACGCTCGAGCTCAAGAACGGCGAGATCTACAAGGGCCACCTCATGGAGGCCGAAGACAGCATGAACTGCCAGCTCAAGGACGTGACGCTGACGGGCCGCGACGGCCAGCTCAGCCGCCTCGAGCAGGTCTACATCCGTGGCAGCCAGGTCAAGCTCTTCATCCTGCCCGACATGCTGCAAAAGTCGCCGCTCTTCAAGAAGATCCAGGCGCTCAAGAAGCCGAACGACAAGAAGGCCAAGAAGGGCAAGGGTCGTGGGCGCGGCGCGGCGCCCAAGCCGTAGTGCAGCGCGCAATCGCTAGGAACCACCCACGACTCGTCCTATCTTATAACCACCTCGAATAAATATCGTACACGTAGCAACGTCCTGCAACTGCGCCGACGCCCAGCACATCGACGCTCTGCATGGCTGCCGCCCTCCTCCACGTACAGCCACCGAAGCCAGACCGGGCGCTGGCTGGACGCGCTCAGAAGCCATAGAGACGCCGAGCAGAGTCACCGGAGGCAACACTGCAGTTCGTAAAGGAGGCAGACCGAACCGAGAATTCGGTTCAACTGCACGAAGGAGGCCAGTGAGGTCCTACCACTCGGCCCTCGCTGCCGATGCTCTGCGTGGCAATGACGGCCTCCAAGATGCTCTACCCAGCTGTCGCCCATCAAAGTGGGCGCACTCATGTGCTTGCCTCTTCAAATAGCCCCTCACACTTGCAGGGCTAGCGCAGCACCGTCATCCCGACCAAGTTATGCTCGGAAGATGAACGCAAAGCGTCCAGCAGTGTTCTTATTGCAGGGCAAGGTATAGTACCTTGACGCTTTCGTCCATGCCGTTGCCAACGTCAACAGCACGGGCTCGCTTGCGTCGTCAGCAACGTGCTGCTCGACAGTCCTCTCGGAGCCCTCGTAGCTCGTACCTTGATGGTGCAGTGCTTTGAGACCACAAGAAACCACAAATCGAGAACGCAGTGTATAGTGCATCATGCGATCTTAGTGGCCGCTGTTGTTGTCCTCTTGCAGCGTAAAGACGCGAATGGCCGAGACGCCATTGTGGATCGTCTCGAGCTCCGTCGTCGTGGGGCTCACGCGGCGACGAAGGAGCGTCACGGCCTTGCCCTTCATTTCGGTCTCGAGCACGAGGCTGCCGTCGTCGGCCCACGTCGGCGTGCCCGTCACGGGGCCGTCCATGCTCTCCATCGTCTGCGGCCCATGCCCGACCTAGTCATGTCCTCTTGTATGAGCGAAACGGACGGCAAATCGAGTCGAACCCGAATCTCGTTGGCAAAGTCCTTGATGCCGCCGACGTTGGTGATTGCAATCTTGTCGCCCGACTGCGTCACAGTCTGCACAAGGCGGTTGACGCCAAAGCCCATGATGGAGCCGGCCTTGCGCTTGAGCCAAGCGACGTCGAGCGCCTCGAGGAACTCGTCCATGTTGCGCACCTCGGTGCACTTCCACGTCCCGTTGAAGTCGTGCATGTTTGAAAATGAATCAATCCCAACTTTGAAACACCAAATCTTCTAAAGTTCGTCGGTCGAAGGTCCTTGGCCTTGGCATCAGGCCAGAAGCAACCGATCGCTGCAGGGACAGGCTGGCGGCGGGGCCGCCACTGAACGTCATCCTTGCCACATTCTGCCCGGTCAAAGACACTCTTAAACTAGTAGAAGCCGAGCAAGTCGCCAGTGCTCCGACACCAAAGCGCGGCTGCGCGCCGTTGATCGTGTTGCAGTGCGGACGCAACGAAGCACGTGGTTTCAAGGCAGGCACGAGATGCAGCATATCCTCAACAACGACTACATCTGGTGCCTCATCGGCGGCACCCAGCCAAGGTGTGCACTGGACAACATTAGTTAGTCGAAGTCGCCTCGCAGTCGACTTGTGCGACCAAGACATGCTCGCACCGGATTGGCCCGTCGTGATTTCAAGAGTGTATGCGCGACAGAATGCAGGTCTTCATCGGACGTAACACAGTGCAGTCAACACACGACTGGCGCAAGCATAGTACCAAGCATGGCCGCGCTCTCGCCCGTGTCCCGCGTCGTCCTCGTCGTGGGCCTCGTCGCCGCGCCGCTGTACCTCGTACGCCTTGTCGGCGCCACTGAATCTGGTGCTCATGCGCTGCATGTAGGCGGCGACGTCACTCTCAGCGCTCCTCGTGCTCGCTGTGCTCTACATGCCGCCCGCCGCGCTCTTTGGCTGGATGTACCTCTCGGCAAAAGCGCGGGCAACGTCCAAGGTCAACTGGGACATGCTCTTCCGCGTCTTCTGCGGCGGTCTCTGCCCCGGCGTCCTGCTCGCCATGGTCGTCGAGTCGGTCCTCACAGCAGCGCTCTTCTTCCTCTGCATCGACTCGGCCGACGTCTTTGCGCAGTACGAGCGGTACGGCTCGGCGCACCCGAATGCCACGTCGACCGAGATCCTCTCGCACCTGCACATTGGCCACACGCTGGGCTTCTTCGTCTTTGTCTTTTGCCTGGCGTTTGTTGTCGCGGGCCTGGTCGAAGAGTATCTCAAATATTGGCTCGTGAAAGGCCGCTGCTGCATTGCGTCGGGCTTTTGCACGCCTTTGACGTCGCCCCACATTGTCGACCCGTTCTACACCGTCCTTTGCTTTGCCGCTGCTGGCTGCGGCTTTGCCACCTTCGAAAACATGGGCTATGCCTTCACGCAAGCGACGTTCGAGCCGCAGCTGCAGACCGCGCTTCTCCGCGGGCTCCTCGCCACGCCCTTGCACGTGCTCTGTACGAGCCTCACGGGCATGCGGGTCGTCGCTGCCGAGCTGCGCAAGGCCCAAGCGCCGTTGGAGCCAGCATCAACGTGCCAGGCGCTGGTCGCCACGATCCGCTGCATCTTGCCGGCGGTGGTGCTCCACGGCGTGTACGACTTTCAGATGTTTGTATGCACGGCCCTCTTGCCCGAGTCGACGTACGCATCGATGCTCATGGGCGCGCTCTGCCTCGTCCTCGGGGCGTGGTATGTCTATCGCCTCTATACCTTTATCAACTGGGACTACCAAGTCCTCGACTACAGCGACGCTGCAGTGCACGCAATGGAGACGGGCGCCGAGCTGCAGCCACCAACACCCGGCCACGTGCTGTAGTATTTCCCTTCCTGTCGTCGCCCTTGTAGAGGAATACTATTGTGCATTTAGTGGGATTTATGAGCTTTTATGCGGCTTTGTGCAATGATTTTACGTTCGAGGAAAAGGCGCTGCCGGCCGCCCCCGTCCCAAAGCTCATTTCGCTTTTGCTTTGCTCCGATGCTGACCTCGCTCCTTCTGTCTACCCTCGCGCTGGTGCCGGTCCTCCGCGCCGCCAACGACGGCCACGCGACGACGCTCAGCTCCGACGACGGCAGCAACGCTACCACGGGCACGTGCCAGCTCATGAAGACGCTGCGCAACGCAGCGCGGTACCAAGTCTCGCTGAGCGCGCAGCAGTGGGCGCGCGGGGCCAACTGCGGCCGGTGCGTCCAGGCGCAGTGCTCCAACTGCCCGTCGCCACTGCCAATCACGGCGCAGGTGACCGACCGCTGCGCCGACTGCGCGGCGGGAGACATCGACGTGTCCCGTCCCATGTTCCAAGCGCTCTTTGGCACACCCACGGGCCGCCGTCCGCTCCAGTGGGGCTTTGTCGACTGTCCCGTCGAGGCGACGCTGTCGCTGTGCACCAAGCCGCGCAACACGAGTCTCTACACGATCTTTATCCAGCCCACAAACACCGTGTCCGGCGTTGCCAACATGACCATCGACGGCTTCAAGGGCCGCCTGTCTGCGAATGGATCATACTTCTTCAAGGCGCCCATGCCCCGCAATTGGAGCGACGTGCACATCAACCTCACAGCGACCAACGGCGAGAAGATCGTCGCAGCCACCGTCGCCCTCCGGTCGGGCCGCTGCGTCACGATCCCGTACCAGTTCCAGCCAACGACGGCCGGCGGGGCATTGATCCAGGCCTCGTCTTCGCTCGATAGCGACGACGACATTGTCGTGCCCATGACCACGACGCGCCCTGTGCCGTATTATTAAGACCCCGGCCTTTCTTCCAAAGCTAATCTAACCGTGTACTAGTATGTAATTTTGCTGGCTTGTCTACACCGGCTTGCTGGTAACGACAGGAGCGAGGCGTGTGGCGACGTGCGCAGGAGCTTGCTGCTACGTACCTTGTCCATGCAAGCCCACTGCATGAACCCTTGCCATGACGCCGACGACGAAGCGGCCAGGACCTTTGCAGCTGATGTTCATCTTCAAGAACTTAGTGATGGTACGTGTTGTAGCGATCCCGACCGTAGTAGAAGCAACGATATGCACTTGGTTGGCGTGTAGTCAGTCGGTGCCATCGACTATACTCGATGAAAAGGCGTCAATCGAAGGTCGAATCTTTTTCCGGACGTGGCCGTTTCGACCTATTTTATCCGGATGAACGCAATCGACTTCCACTCATCGAGATGCCTCAGCAAGACTGGATCCGCGTCCTCCGTGGCGTCGGCCTCGTCGCCGAGCAGGTCGTCAAGAACGCCAAGCCGCTCGAAGAGCAGTCCAAGAAGGTGCTTCAGCACGTCGCTGACCTGGCAACGCTCGTGCCCCAGGTCGCGGCCCAAGTGGGCTCGCAGCACCAGCACCATGCGACGCCGCCACCGGCCGACTCGCTCGTACCGCCACCGTCCGAGTTCAAGCCGGCGCCCACCATGACAATGCCTGTGGCTGTCGCGCCTGCGGCTCCGATTACATCGCCTGTAGTCGAAGCTGCCACCATGACGCCGCCCGTGGTGAACGCAGCCACGACGTTGAAGGCGACGGTCGAGGCCACGGCGCCCACGTTTGTCAAGCCCACCGTGCCTTCGTTCGAGCCCAAGGCGCCGTTTGCGCCCGTCGACATGCCGCCTCTGCAGCCGCGCGAGTGGACCGAGAAGCACGTGCCGTCGACGCCGCTCGCTCGCATTGTCGGCTTTGGTGCACTGGCGGCGCGCCTCGCTGTCGGGACAGCCACGGCCGTGATCCAAAACCCGTCCGGCGAGAAGCAGCTCAAGAACGCGCTCATTTCCGATGCGAACGCCGAGCGCCTCGCCGACGCGCTCTGCACCATGCGCGGTGTACGTCCTCTCGTCTGCGCCTCGACTTCAACTCACCAAGCACAATCACAATTCTAGGCGGCGCTCAAGCTCGGCCAGATGCTCAGCATCCAAGACGAAAGCACGATTCCGCCGCAGCTCGCGCACGCGCTCGACCGCGTCCGTCAAGGGTACGAGAGACTGAGACGTTCGCCATCCCTCTCAAGCTCTCGGACTGTAGCGCGCACATTATGCCCAAGGCGCAGCTCCACGCGCAGCTCACCAAGGCGTGGGGCGACGATTGGCGCGCCAAATTTGAGTCGTTTGACGAGAACCCGGTGGCCGCCGCGTCCATCGGGCAGGTGCACCAGGCCGTGCTGCTCTCGGGCGAGCGCGTCGCGGTCAAGATCCAGTACCCGGGCGTCGCCGACAGCATTGCCAGCGATCTCCTCAACCTCAAGCGCCTCGTGACGTACATGAACATTTTCCCCAAGGGCCTCTACATCGACGAGATCATTCGGTATCCAAGCGTGTACCTATGGCCACCACCTTAGCCTTCGCATCTAGTGTCGGCCAGGACGAGCTCACGGTCGAGTGCGACTACGAGAACGAAGCTGCGAACCAGCGCAAGTTCAAGGCGCTCATTCACGACAGCATCCTCCGCGACGGCTTTATCGTCCCCGATGTGTATGACGACGTCTCTACGAGCCGCGTGCTCACCACGTCGTGGATCGCGGGTGTCCCGCTCGACAAGATCACGACGCTGTCTCAGGAGGTGGGTTTTGTTTCAAATTATCAATGTATCAATCGATCTATTAGGTGCGCAACGACGTGGCGCGCAAGCTGCTGCAGCTCACAATGCACGAGCTGTTTGTGTGGCGTTTTATGCAGACGGACCCGAACTGGAGCAACTTCATGTACGACGCGACGCAGCACAAGATTGGGCTCATCGACTTTGGCGCCGCGCGTTCGTACGAAAAGAGCTTTGTGGATACATACTTTGACATTGTGTGGGGCGCGGCGAGCATGGACCCGAAGAAGATGATGGACGCGTCGTTCAAGCTCGGGTTCCTCACGGGTTGGATTTTCGATCGATTTTTCATGGTTTTTCGAGATTTATTGCGTAGGCGACGAGTCCAAGGACATGCTCAAGGCCCACGAGCAAGCCGGTATGGTGGTCGGCGAGCCATTTGCGTCCCACGAGCCGTACGACTTTTACAACAGCCATCTGACGCAGCGCCTCGCGCAGCACACCGACATGTTTATGAAGGGTAGCCCACTTGATACTGTGCGCTGGATTCATACCGACATAGGTCGCTTGACGCCGCCGCCACAGGAAGTGTACTCACTCCACCGCAAGCTCGCGGGCGCCTTCCTCATGTGCATCAAGCTCAAGGCCGTGATTCCGTGCCGCGACGTCCTCGAAGAAGTCGCCAAGCAGTACCAGCGTTAACGATAGACTACATACAGTGCTAGTGCGACCGACACTTGCGACGCCTTTGTACGATCTTGGTTCGTCGTTAATGGTCGATCGATCATCGCCTTCTTGCGTCTTTTAGCAAGTCGTTGCACTGGACCCCTTAAGTCACTCGGAGTTCTAGTTGCACTAACACCCGACTCGCTCGCTGTCGGGCGCTGCGAGGTACGGTACTGTTTTCGTTGTCATTCCGACACTGCAACTCAAAATTGCAAAGTCGTCCATAGCAACTCGAATCTTTATTGGAGACGCCTGGTATTGCTATTCGTTGCACGTAGCGACGACCGAGTCGGACCGCGACGAAAGCGCAGTCGGCGACACGAGCGAATGCCGCAACGAGGCAAGCGGGTCGGTCAGCGGCCGTTGCGAGCTGTGGAGCGTCTCGTAGAGGAATTCTCGCCACGCAGCGCCGAGCGGATGGCGCTCAAAGGCCGGGAGGAGGTCGAGGAACATGTCGGTGACAAGCTCGAGCACAAGCGGTTCGAAAAACGCGTCGGGCAGCGTGTCGACGACTGCGTTTCTCGCACGCGGTCGTTGGAGGCGCCCGATGTAATAGTGGCGCCACTTGGCACTCGCGCGCGTCTGCAGCGGCGCCGACACGTCGATGCAAGTCGCAAAGATCTTCCACGCGCGCTTCCGCGTCAGTACTCTGACGGGAAAGCGCCGCGCCATCTCCCACGACAAGATCGCATCGAGGTGCAAGGCGAGCCGGCAATAGTCAAGAAAGGCCCGGGCGCCTTCGGACGTTTGTAAAAAAGTATGGAAGCGGTAGAGCTCGGCTGCAATGTCGCGCGCACCATGTACGGCCCCCGCCTCCATGGCATCGTCGACCGTTTTGCCGGTGCGCACTAGGTGCGCGCATGAGAGGCTGCCACGTCATAAAAATCGAATCGAAAAATATCGACGCACCAATCCGGTGGACGGATGGCACTACGTGGAAACCATAGAACGTGTGCGGTGCGACTTGAGCGAGGATGATGTCGAGGCCGTAGGACGAGAGCATGTACCACTGAAGCTTGGCCGCGCAAAGGCTCACGAGACCAAAGACACTGCACGCAGCGACGACGCTATAGATGGTGCGCCGGTACACTTTGTGAAGTTCGTCGAGGTCGTCGACGGCCTGCAAGTGCCGTGCGACATAGAGACTGGCAACGACAAGCGCCGACATGACGAGCACGGTGGCATACACCGCGCCCTATTCGCTTCATCAAGACATGCTCATGATAGAGGAACAACGCACTGGCGTCCAACAGGATGCTTCTGGCGACATGACGCTGCCAACGCTAAAAAGGGCCAAGGCGGTTGCCACTAGGCACAAATAACTCTGCAGCGTCGGCATGAGGAAGCGACGACACCACTTGATCGACACGATTGACCGCGTCGGATCACGGTGCTGCAAGAGGGCTTCCGCGAGCTTGAACCGAACCACGAGGCTTGAAGCAACGAGTAGAAACCATGTGCTAATAGTTCATAGTCGATGCATCAACAGGTAGACGAGGGCGCGTACCATGCAAGCGTGGTCAGTGCGATCCAAACGACAAGCGCGTGACACCACAAAGCACCGCGCGGGTCCAGTAGGCGCAGTAGCGGTGGACTCGTCGCACCGAGGTAGGCGCCAGCACCGATGCTTGCGATCGCAACGGGCCGCCGACTTCGGATCCAGCGGTGCTTGCGGTGCCAGAGATAGAGTCCAAGGACCGCCGGCATGTAGCTACTGAGCACAACCGACGCGATGAGCGGCGCGGGCTCCATCCTTCCGACGCGGCGGTTTCTTATCTGCGTCGTCGTTGCCGCCTGTCTAATTTTGGACGCAATGACGTGGCACCACAAGGGACGTTGAGACGTTGTGCGTCGAAACAGGCTCATGTCGCGACGTCGTCTTCGTTGCGCGAGACGGGAATAGGCTCGAGCGGCGACGAGATCACAAACGAGCTGCGTCGCGAGCCCGAGACGCGAGCGCCCGACTGAGTGCGCTGGGTCGTGTGGACGTTGTAAAATCGAAACTCGTGCCACGCAAGCCCCAGCGAATGCCGTTCAAACCAAGGCAGCACGTCAAGGTACAAGTCCAAGACGAGGTCGGTCATCAACGGCTCAAAGAACCCGCGCGGCAATGGCGCGTCGTCGGGCTGGATGCGCAAGCGCGAGGTCTTGAGCTTGGCCATGTAGTACGGCCGCCAGCGTCGACCTGCGTGGGTCAAGAGCGGCGCCGAGGGGTCCATGCACCTTGTGTAGAGTTTCCAGCCGCTGCGGAGCGTCCATGGTTTGTTGGTGCCACGCTCGATCGCCTTCCACGAGAGCAATTCCTCGAGGCGGAGCGCGAGCCGGCAGTATTGAAGAAACACGAGGTAGGTATCAGGTCGTCGGAGGAACCGCTGGAAGAGCGCAATGTCGTCCGGTGCCACTGCATTCGGCTCGACGATACGATGGCGCATACCGAGCTGGTACAAGGGCGGAACGACGTTGATGAGAAAGAGCGTGTGGGGCAAGAGCACGCATAGGAGGGTGCCGACGCCATAGTCGTTGAGCATCGATCCTTGAAAATGCGACTCGACGTAGCGACCACCACCGACACCGAGCAGCACGACAACCGACACTTGCAGCGTGCGCTGGTAGGCCCACTGAAGGCCATAGACATCGTCGACCGCGTAGAGCATCACTGATACGTACGCGCCGACGGCACCGAGAAGCGCGAGCGCGACACCCATGTACAGCTGCGTCGACTAATCGATTGAACATAAGAGTGGTCTAGTAGACAAGACAGAGGCCGCACCGGTGACAAGCACGTTGTGGCTTCCAAGACCGCTGACGACGGCGCGTCGAGAAGCCCAATGACGCACCCCAGCGATACCAGCGTTGTAAGAAGACACGCACTGATATGGACGGGCGGATGCAGCCCAAAGCGCAGCCAGCGCAGCGAATCCAAGACGGCACTCTGGAGACTCATCGCGTTGAATAGCATCTCGGTGACGCGGTAGCGCAGCACGAGCACAATCGCAGCCGTCACGTACGCCGTACTAGCCATGAGCGCATGAGCACCATCCTCTTGACATAGCTACGACATGTACCTGCCGGCTATCCCGAGGCCAAACCATAGGAGCGAGATACTGCATGGTACCTCGGGTGTCCACGCGGTCGCGGGCCCCACGAGGCTGCAGAGCCAGGCGCAGAGCGCGGGAAATACAAGACGCATGCGTGGCTGCAGCACCCGCGCGCACCGACGAGCCCACCAGAGCGCAAGTGTCGGCGGCATGTACAGCGTCAAGACGACGGCCGCGACAGCCGCGTCCATGGTCGTTTCCAATTTTGGCGCCAAAAATATAAAACTGCAAACTCACGTCTCGTCATCATGAAACCGGGACGAGATCGTCGACATGGGAATCGGTGCCAGGGGCATCGAGACGATCGCCGCGAGCGACGGGCCCCCCGAGATGCAGCGCTGCGACGCGTGCAAGTGTTCGTAGCGAAACTCGCGCCACGAAAGCCCAAGCGAATGCCGCGTAAAGTCGGGCACGAGGTCGTTGAACATCGAGACGAGGAGGTCGTTGAGGAACGGCGAGTACAAGTCCCACGGCAACACGTCAGGTCCGCGCGCGCTCGTGGGCGCGCGGTTCTGAAGCCCATGCGGGTTCGCGAGCTGCGACCGGTAGTAGTCGCGCCACTTGGCCGCACTCGGTGTCACGAGCGGTCCACTTTGGTCCAAGCACTCGTCATAGACAGCGATTGCGGCGTCACGCGTCGTGAGCTGCGTCATAAAGTTCCAGAGCGTCGTGTACGCCAAAATGTCTTCTAATCGCAAGGCGAGCCGGCAGTACGCAATAAAGTCGTCGAGCCCGGCCGGCTCCTCGAGGTACTTGCGAAAACTCGCGAGCTCGTGCAGCGAGCGTGACGCGGTCGTGTCACCACTACCTATTGCGTCGTGGACCCGCGTGGCACCTACGTGACGTTAGCCCACGACGCGAAACGCGTCGTCGTACGCAGCAATGCCATTGGCTGGACAATGTTGAAGTAAAACAAAAGGTGCGCGAGAAGCGTCGTGACCATCGTCTTGATGTTGTACGTTCGCAGGAGCGTCCATTGAAACTGCGACTCGGAAAACGTGACAAACCCGAGCAGCCAGAGCACGCCCACGACGTGCAGCAGCGTCTGCGCATACGTGCGGTGCAAACCCGCGAGGTCGTCGACACTGTGCAACGCATACACAACGTAGAGCACGACGCTAAGGACGATACCAAACTGGAGACCGATCGAGACGACCATGGCCTAGATGTAAGCACTCGGGACAGCCTGCTTGGTGCGCAGAGAGGACGTACCGGTGTCAAGCAGCCATTGATGGACGGGCTGAGAAGGGTAGCTGTGTCCGATGCACTCAGCGTCGCGACCAGCGCGAGCGCCACGAGTGCAGCGCAGGCGCGGCGCTGAACGCTTCGCTGCAGCAAAAAACGATAGAGCCGCATCTTGGGGTATGGCTGCTCTGGGTCCAGCGGCTGCGCGAGGACTTCGGTGACGCGGTAGCGGACGACGTGCGACACGGCGACGACCAAGTACCACGCGCTACGCCGATGACGTTTTGGCCTCGAGCGATACACAGAGGCAAAGGCGTACCTTCCAAGGACGTTGAACGCTGCCCAGACAACGTGCCAGTAGCACGAGAGATTGTGCGAGAGCATCATCACTTGCTGCAGCGGGTCGGCGACCGCATAGACCATGACACAGGCGGCAGCGAATGCCATATCGAGCGGCTGCCGGCAACGCAAATGCGCCTGCCGCCGCCGGCGAACATACAGCGTCAAGAGCACTGGCATGTACGCGGCGAGGACGACGACAACGACGAGCAGCGCGGCTTGCAGCTCCATCTTCTGTCTGCCGCTGTCTTTTCTGGTGTCTATTTTGGTCATGCGGGACGAAGACGCTGCAGTGGAGATCCCACTAGCGCCGCCTTACTTGTTGAATGACGTGGCAGCGTGGTAGCCCACGCTGTTGAGGCTCGAGCAGCCATATCCGAAGCTACATGACCTCGAGTGTGTAGAACACGGCGAGCTCGCTGCATTCCGCCCAAGTGGTTGAAATCAAATAGAGGATTACAATTGCAGAGTCCTTGGCCTTGGCCTTGGCCTTGGCCTTGGCCTTGGCCTTGGCCTTGGCCTCGCAACGCTATCCGAGCGACCACGACCCAACTTGGACCAGTGTACAGGCAGCCGCGCCAACACACTCGTCCCGATGCGCAAGACGTCGCCCATCAACTTGCGGCATAAAGATAACCTACAGACAACGGTTTTGTTTGGGACCTCTGGGCGATGATGGCATCGGTCGTGCCCCAGGTCCCCTTGACGCTTCCGCGCTCGCATCACCGCGTTCCTTGTAGGACCAAGTACCTCTCTACGACGGCAAGGAAGACGCCAACGGGCTGCGGACGGGCTCGGGTGCCTCGCGTGTCGTCGCGTCACCTCGCTCACCGCGCTCGGTGTAGGCAAGCTCGTCTTTGCAAACGACGACACGTACGTCGGGCAGTTTGTTCAGGGCTATCGGCACGGCGCCGGCGTCTTTACGTACGACCATGGCCAGCGCGTCTACGAGGGCGAGTGGAAGCTCAGCTTGCGGCACGGCAAGGGCAAGGAGACGTGGCGCGTCGGCGACACGACGCTCTACAGCTACGAAGGCGAGTACGAGCGAGGCAGCCCTCATGGCTACGGCCTCGAGCGCAAGAAGCTCGCCAAGTACGCGGGTGAGTTTCAGAACGGAAGAAAGGAGGGACATGGCCGCATGGTCTGGCCCAACGGCGACAGCTATGACGGGCAGTGGCGCGACGGCCGCATGTGCGGTGTCGGCAAGCTCGTGCGCGCCATTGACGGCAGCTCGTACGACGGGCACTGGGTACACGGGCTGCGACACGGCCGCGGCAAAGCGATAGGTGCCGACGAGGTCCGTGGTTCGAGACTGCTCCGATGCTTTTGCATTATATGTGCTTAGGTCTATGATGGGCTATGGAAGGAAGGACTGCGACACGGCGACGGCACGGTCGTCGCCAACGCACACGAGCGCAGCGGGGTCTGGGACAAGGGCGTCCGCCTCAAGTGGACCACCCCCGAGAAGCTAATTCAGTCGCTTCGATAGACTATTGCACAAGAGACAGAACACTATATCAAAGCCACGTGGTTTAGAGTGAGTTGGCTACGAGACGACGCAACAAGTTGTCATTTGCGGGCCAGAATGTCGAAAAAGTACTGCGACTCGAGCGCGCCGTCCTCGGGCAAGTCGGTGCAATGCACTGCGTTCTGGACGCGGTCGACGCCAAACCGCGCTCGGATCGTGCTCGGCTTGAGCTCGCGCGCCATGTCAATGTCCCACGGCCCCGCAATCTCGCGGAAGCGCTGAACCTACAAACATGGAGTGTGGTGCTGCCACGTCATCACGTCAGCATCGTACGACTTCACCCGAGCCCTGCAGCTCGAGCGCGATACACGGACCGCTCGTCAAGTGGTCGATGGCTTCGTTAAAGTGGGGCACGACGCCATCGTAGAGCTACAAAAAATTAAAGTCGCCGGGCGCGTGGGTTCGAAGCGGACCTCAAAAAACTCGGACGCTGACGTGCGGTCGAGGCGGAAGAGCTCCATGGCCGAGATGTGCAGTCCACACTCTAGGATCGCGTCGATGACGGAGCCGACGTGGCCTTCCTTGAGTACATGCGGCTGGATCACGCAGCACGTGCAGTTGGTAAACGTTGCGGGCGACGGCCACGGCTTCTCGACATATTGGTCGTGGAGCCTACGCGACACCGTACTGAGCAACATTGGGTGGCGCTGATCTACGTACTGTTGCGCTTCCAAGGTCGACGCGGCGACTTCAAGCGGGTGGTTGAAGCGGCTTTGGACTGTCGCGGCGACTTTGGGCAGGCGCTCAATGGCGCAGTCGCCAACCACCTCGATGGCCACGACGGGCATGCGGTCGCGCAAGAACATCTTGACAAACGAGAGCGTGAGCTGGTTGTGCTGGAGCTGCGTGAAGAGCGCGCCGAGCGCCGGGAGATGCGAAAGGAGCACGATGGATTTCTGCGCCTGTTTCGCAAGCTGGCTCGCCGTGTGGCTGTCGAGGTACTCGGTGAGCTCAAAGTGGCGGCCAAAGAGCACCACTTTGCCGCCGAGGAAGAAGTCCTTTGCGACCACCGTTGCCGGGCACTCGGTTTTTTTCAGAAAGAGCTTGTTGGTCTTGCAGTCGAGGATCTCGACGTGGTGGCTGTCGTGGAAGTAGCGCACGTTAAAGTTGCGGTGCATCCTAGATCACGACCATGACGTGGCAGCGTAGCATGCGTGCCTACTGCGCATGCTGGTCGAACCACTTGGCCTTGAAGCCGTAAATCGTCTCGCGAACCGCCTGCATCGCAAAGGGCAAAGTGCCCGAAACCGGCGCTTGGTGCGCGTTTGGTTGCGTGTTTTTATATTGTACATTCCCAATTATCATCAATGGATAGAAACACGCAGCCAAATCGAATCGAGCGCTGGCAGCGTAGCAAGGCTGATGTAATCGGTCGCTCGCGTAGGACTACCTCGTCACCGTTGTCGGTGGCTAATACACACTCTGCGTACCGAGTCGGACACCAAACTAGTCGCTTCCACCAGTGCTAACGTGCCCGAACAAGCTGCGAGAAGGACCATCGCTCCGGACCCAGATCTTAGTGCAAACTGGGACAAGGTGCTCCACCGTCGATGGCACGAGGAAATCCTCGCCGTGAGCCTCGTATGTAGGTAGGAAGGAAGGACACGTGACGACGATTAGGATTAGTACAGCGGCAATAGGCTATAGAACGTGCTTGGTTCGCTGCATATCGCGGTTCGGGTTGAAGAACTGGGCTTCGATCGAGACGCTTGCGTCGCCGCGGCCGCAGTGCACTTGGATCATGCGCGCGCTACACAGAACGCCCATGAGCCATCGAGAGCAAGTACGGCTACGAGATGACGGACCTCGAGAGAAACACTTCTTCAAACTCAATGTGCGGGCACGACACGTACACGGCAATGACGCCAAAGTCCATGTGGTGCAGCACGACCGAGTCGTCAGAAATCGAGCACTGCGCGCCGTTGACGGCGATCCAGCGCGGCGTAAAGTGGCTGCCGTACGAGGCGTCGAGCACCTGGAAGGGATGGACGCCGATCGACAAGAGCGTCGGCGACACCGGACATGACGACATGTTTTGCACCACGAGCCGGAGCTCGACGATCTGCATCACCGAGAGCGTGCCGTCCCGCCACACGGATCTAGATATCGCATGTCAGACACCTTGTCCATCGAAGTAAGAGCAAGAAAACAAAGTACCGGGTCGTGCGCGAGTTGGAGCGGCGCGCGAGGACGCCCCAGAGGTCGAGGCCCTGGCCGCGGCCCATGGCGACGACCGACTCGTCCTTGGTGTACGCGCCGCGCGGCAGCAGCATCGACTGGTCGAGGTACTTCCACTTGTGGTACATGGCGGTGAAGGACCGCGTGAGGAGCAGAATCTCGTCCTTTGGGATGCGCCAGCGCTGCATGATGAGCGCTTCCCAGAGGTACGCTTGCTTGCCGTCCATGATGCGTCGCTTCCACTCGTGGGACGTCTGCGCGACCCGTGTGAGCATGACGCCGTCCAAGAAGCGGAGCACATGCGGGCATGTGTCGACGAGCACCGAGAGGCTGCACGACGGTGAGGAGGATGCCATCGATGTCGTCGTCTTGGGTGCCTTGCGTGGCTTCTTGTGCATGACGGCCTTGTGCGTGCTTGGCAGATGCATCGTGAGGCGCGGCGGCGCGGCGTGGGCGGCCGAGACGAGGGGCGTGATCGAGCAAGGAATCCAGAGCATCGTCGAGCCGTTGCTGTGCAAGGTCGGCGGGGCGCTGGTCGTCGCGACTGCTGCGTGGTGGTGGTGGGCAGGGGAAGCGTTCAATTGCTGCTTTAGGCGCTCGTTCTCGGCCTCCAAGGCGCGGATGCGCTCACAGGCGTGCTGGATGATCTTGGCGCGGCTGTTCTTGCGGCTGTTGGGCAGGCGCAACGCCTACAGATAGAAGAGCCGTGTCAGTCTCGCCATCATGGTCGTCGTCGTGGACGTACCGCGAGAAGCTCGTCAAAGCCCGCATTGACTTCGACACGCGTGATCTTGGCGCGCGACTTCTTGCGCTCGTAGCTCATGTCTTGGTTCGAGAGGCCGGCGCTGCTCTCGTCCATGTCGTCGTCAAAGGAGGCGCGCGGCGCGTCGCCGCGCTGCTTGCTGTGCATCCAGGCCATGGATTCCGGCAGCGCCGGCGCATGGCCTGCGGGCGCGCTAAAGAGCTGCGCAATGTCAACGTCCCAGAGGCCGTCGCCATGCGCTGTGAACTCGTCCGCCCGCTGCTGCTGCTCCATCGCCGGATGATGACTGGACCAAGGTCGGGCAATATTTTTGGCCCGTCGAAATATTATATTCAGTCGCCCACACTTGAAGTTCGTTTTCTTTTCTTTTATATTTCCGTTGTCTTGTGATTTCTATACAACGGTCGCGCCATTTCAAAATAATTTTCGAGCAATTCAATCGCTCGAAATCCGGCGCAGTGGCGGAGGCCAGCGCCGTGTCCAGGTCGCGATGGCCGGCGACGGTCCCGGCACCGACGATGGCCACGATGGCCCGCAGCGCCCGATCGCGCGATGAGCCTGCAGGCGCAGCCTGGACCGGCGCGGCTACTGCGCGCGGCGGCGTGAGGCGGCGGCGCCACGAAGCGACGGACGCCGTCGACGCGACATGTGGCGCAAGTCGTTGGATTCCTGCCATGTGCAATGACCCTCATACAAGCTGGATCGCGACGACGAGTCACGCGCGTGGACGAAACATGGGCGCCGCGCGGAAGGAAGTCCCCACGGGCGTCTCTCGTAAAGAGACGAGGCCCGCACGCTACCGTAGAGGCAGTAACCTCATGGCGTCGTCGGCGAGTAGCTCGAACGCTGCGGTCCCACGCGACCAACTTCAAGCGCCCATCCTCGCAGAGATGCATTCGAGATGCGATCGCAACACGTGGTTGCACGCGTGGGTGCTCTGTGGACGCGACGTCCCCAAGTGCCCATCCCTCGCTCCTCATCAGTCCAATGTAGCAGAGGCGATGGACCGCATCAAGCTCGCGCTTTGGACGGTCAGAGGGTCGGCGAGTCGATGACCTAATGACCTGCGTCGCTCTCGAGAGCGTACACTGTACGCCCGGCGATGGCCGAGATGCCTACTGCAACCTGGTCGGGCACGTGCATACGCGGCGAGCCATTGGTCCACGCGAGTGACGCCTGTATCTTCCCAGTCGACCGCTGATCGCAGCTTCAGCAGGCACAGTGATCCTACGGCGACTGGAGACTGGCTATCGACCTGCTCTGTGCGACTCGGTGTGACCCTCTCTTGGCCGCCCGTCAGGCATTGCTAGTCTGTGCTACTATAGTGTATTTTTGATTTGCGCCGTTGACAACCACGCCATACGTGGCACGCTGCGCGAGCAGCAAGCGTCGCTGGTGCTGTGCGTCGAGCTCCGTATGCAGCCTACCTCTGGTTTGCATTGTTGATTCGCGAGCGGTCGCTGAAACGGGTGTCGTTTCCGGTAAAAGGGCAGCAAAGATCGCGGATCTTCATTTTCAAAAGACCCGACGATGGAGAAGGAGGCCGCGCTGACGCAGCACCAAGGCGGCTTGGCCGAGTACCCGAGCCGCAAGCCACTCCAGAAGGCCCTCGTCGTCTCGATCTTCGTGTACCTTGTGTCGTTTGCCTTTACGTGGTACAAGGTGTACTGGGACACGCTCATCTCGCTCGCGTTTGTCGTCCTTGGCTACTATGCCATCTACGACCCCAACAGCCGCCCCATGGGCAAGGCCTTTCACCTCGTACGTCGGCCTATTACTCTCGCTCGTATGCTGATGGCTGTAGTTTTATCTCGGGCTCATGCTCTGCATTCTGCTGCACACGATTGCATTTGCGACGCTCGTCGCCGAGCTCGTGAGCAGCCAAGTCGAAGCGCATCTCAACCTCAAACTCATCAACTCGCCCACGGGCCTCGTCATCTTTCTCATCATCCTCGAGCTCGGCTACATGGCGCTCACGGTACGACCAAGCATTCTCATCTTGCTTTACGCAATGGACACACTAGGGCGTTGCGATCGGGCTGTGCTTCCGCCTCCGGTGCGAGGTCGACGGTATCGTTGAAGACCCGAACGAGTACCACGAGCTCCTCTAAGAAGCGCTCGTGACGTGTGTTCTATAACGTCCAATGTCATGTCAATTGTTCATTTTCATTT